TAGTAGTAGTAGTAGTAGTAGTAGTAGTAGTAGTAGTAGTAGTAGTATTAAACATTGTATGGGTGATCGGGGTACTGCAAGTTTTAGTTATATCAGTAATACTAGTGGATTTTATTGAAGTAATAGCACAGGAAATATTAATACTACTCGTTTTATTCGTAGTAATGGTTGTGGTCGCAGCGGCAGCAGTAGTAGTGATAGTAGAATTTCTAATAGTAGCAGTAGTAATAAACGCTATATGGGTGGTCGACGTGCCGAGATTTGTAGTGATATCACTGAATGTAGCGGATTTAATTGTAGTACTTTATAGTTAATAGGGCGAATGTTATTTTTTTGTCGTAGTAATCGTTGTAGCAACGGCAGTGGTAGTAGTAGTTGTATTAATAGTGTAAGTGTTAATATTTGTAGTGGTAGCAGCAGTTGTAAACGTTGCATGTGTGGTCGACGTACTGCCAGTTGTTGTAATATCACTAATAGTAGCGGATGTAGTGGTAGCAACTGCAAAAGCAATGCTTCAACTCCTAGTTGTAGTCGTAATAATGTTGTCAGCAGTGGTAGAAATAGTCCTCGTAGTAGTCTTGGTAGCAGTAACAGTATTAGTAAACGTTAAATGCTTGGTCGATGTACTGAGACTGCTCTTCATATAATTAACGGTAAAGAAGTTAGTTGTAGTAACTGAACGAGCAGTGGTTCTACTACTAGTTTTAGTCGCAGTAATGCTGTTTATGGTAGTAGTAGTAGTAGTAGTAGTAGTAGGTGTAGTAGTAATCGGGTTGTCGGGGTGTTATCCTGTAGCAAATCCCGTAGTATTTTTACTGGAAAACTACTCCTGTAGAAATGGCAAAACCATAATCGGGCGGTTAAATGACTGAAAACTGACCCTTTATTGTTGGCGATAATAATTCTCATGTTTATATTTAATTTAATAATAAATAAAAAAGTACATATCAGAAATAATCCTCGTAGTAGTATTAACAGTATTATAAGTAGTACCATAAGTAGATGTTATACGGGTGGTCGAAGTACTGAGAGTTGTAGTTATATCATTAACGAATTTTGTTGTAGTAACAGAACAAGCAATAGTACTACTACTATTTGTAGTCATAGTAATGTCTGCAGTGGCAGTAGTACGCTGTCTGCGTTGTCGGGTTGTTAGCCCGTAGAAAATCTCGTTCTACTGATGTTGTAAATTACCATATTAGCAGCCCAGGTTCTAGCTGAAAGGCCCAGACAGACGTATTTCCCCGGTATTCTGCCGCTGCTTGACACAGCTGCGGGCCGTGTGGCTCATCAGCGAATTTCCCAGCTTCCCCGGTTTTTAAAGTTCAGCTGTCCTCGTACTGCTCTACTGGAAATCTACTTTTGTGGAGATTAAACACCATAATGGGACGATAAATTACTGAAAACTGGCCCCTCATTGTTGACCTCTTGCCAGCCTCCCCGAAACCAATCAGCACCAACAATTACACTTTTTTCTTTACAGACTGCGAGCTATGTTTTTGCAGTTTTCGCCAGAACACGCTGCCATTGCTTCTTAACCTTCTACTCCTCTTGCCTCTCCTCCACGAACTAACTCGTTTCCCCTCCCTCTCTCCAACTAGGAATAC